TCAGAAATACACAAATATTTATGCACAGGATATTCATCACAGGGTTATTCATAGTAGCGAGTGTGAGAGAGAAATATAAGGCAGTAATAAAATATGTTATGGAGTACTATACAGCCATGAAATCATGATACTGAAGAATATTTAAATGAGAAAATGCTTAAAATAGTAAAATAAAAATCAGTTTACAAAACAATATGCACAATATAATCCTGTTAGAATATGTAGGTACATCAATAGTAGATAGAGAGATTAAAGGTGATTTTAATATGTTTACTTCCAAATTTGCTTAATAAACATGCATTATTTTCATAATCAGGAGAAAAGAAGCTATTCTCAATCCTCCTTTGAGGACACTCATATGCATTACTGCCTTTTTAGAAAACCATTTGGAAATGTGTACTTAGGAACCTAAAACCATATCCTACAAACTGGCATGTTCAATTTTGAGTTTCTTTCCTAAGGAAAACTCTAAATATTGAAAAGGCTTTGTACACCAACATGCTCATCACAGCATTGTTAATGATGGCAAACAGAAGCAAACAACTTACAACAATGGGGGGTAGTTAAGTAAATAATGGTACATTCACTTGATGGCCCATTGTACATTGTACAAGCATTTAAAAATGTTTACAATGATTAGTGCGGGAAAACTAATAAAATAAAATTTAAAAACTGGATTTTTAAAACACATTGGCTCCATTTGGTAAAGGAACTAAAGAAAATATGGATGTTCTTCAATCTAAATCTTCAATCTTCTTCTTTCTAAATTGCCCATACTTTTTTTTAGAGATTGAGTATTGCTTTAAGAGAAAAAGGCGGGGAGGGGGGAAACAACCCTGAATCTCCCTCTGAGCAATGGAAACATTCCCAAATGACAAGGAGTCCATTCCATCAGACCATCCCCACACACACATACACACACCTCCCCCAGTCTAAGGCAAGGGCATAGGGGAAGGTCAAGGGAATGAGGATCTTCTCTCTGTGGCCTAGGGTCTTCTCAGTGGGGTCTCTGAACAAGAGGGGGTTCCTGTGACCAGCTGCTGCTGTCAAGGGCCCTTTCCCTCCCCCAAGTCCTATTCCAGCCTGAACTAATTCACCAAAATCTCCAGAGCTAGAGAAACAATTTCCACGATGGCTACTTGGAACTTGATATTTAGTCCAACTTTTTCCCAGCCCCTTTCTGTGTCAAAGGAGGCCCCTCAAAGCCTCTTAGACAACTAGCACCCAGGCCAGCTTAGCTCCTACATCAAAGTTACACTTATAGCAAAACCCCAAGTCCTCAGTCATCACCAGGGAAATGTGAGAGGAGGAGCCAGGGCAGGGACAGCCTGTCACACAATTCCACCCCCATGCCCTAAGAGCCTCCTCCTGAAGGCTATCCAGGGCTTTTTCTGGCATCAGAACCTTTAAACTTCATTTCAGTCTATAATAAGTCAGCAAAGAGAAAAATCAGGGTGGAAACACAGCAAAGGCAGAGAGCTTTCCCTTCAACGCCCTTAGGGTCATCTGTTTTCCCTTTCTAAGGCAAGGCTAGTACTGGCCAGAGTGCTAGCTTCTGAGTAACTGAGGGTAGACAGTAATATAGTTGGGACCAAAATAGACTGTGGCTTTATCAGACCAGAGATCAGCTCTCATTCTGGTATTAATAAAAAGGACCCCCAATAACTGGCCATCCCTAAACTTCTCAATATTCAACAGAATGGGAGCTGCTGCTCAGATAGGGAGGATTCCAAGGAAATAGCGTAAAGCAGCTTCGCAACCTTTTTCATATGAGAGCATACCTAGAAAATAATACTATTTGTATAGTACACGGGGTATGGTGAAAGCTGATCCCGGCCAGAGGGGACCAATCGGCGACTTCAGCTGCCCCCAGGGATGAGGGGATCAGTATCCCAGCACGCCAGTAGGGAAGCCCTGGATTAGAGCACTGGGCTGGGTTAGGACTCTTGGGATCCATGTACTGAACAAATCAACTCATGGCCCCAGACCTCGAGCTCTCCAACCTCGGCTGACAGGCCATGGGTCAGATCATGTGTCTGCACCAGAAAGCTGGGAGCCGCTGGTCTTGACTCAGCAATGATACAACTTCCCCAAACCATGGTGCTTTTCAAGGGAGTTTCCATACATACATTGCGACTGGGGAAGCCCTCCATCTGACGGCAACGACATAACCCTGAGATTGGCTATATAAAATGAGGTAATTGATTTCATCGGATTTCTAAACTTCAAATCCCTTTTTGGGAACACAAGTGGTCTCAGATTGCTAAGTCATTGCTAAGAGCTACAAATTTAAAAGCTACTACTTACTGAGCATATAGTAGATGCCAGACTCTTCTAAGTACTTCATTTCCAGTTTCATTAAGTCCACACAACAACCTCATGTGGCAAATACTATTTTTATCCCCATTTATAAGAGGAAACTGGGACTCAAAGAGATTAAGTAACTTGCTTGAGGTCAAACACTTTTCTAACTGGACACTGTGGGAAGCCAGTATTTGAGCCCATTTTGACTTGAAAGTCCATATGCTTAACCAGGACACCAATAGGACACCTCGACAAAACCCTCAAATACTATTTGGCTTTTTCTGAAAGCAAATCAATCATAGTGAAGCTGACAATCTGGGAAAGAAAAGGGTGAAAAAGGAGCAGCTTGTCTGACTCACACAATCAAGAAAAGCAGCTAATCTATATTGAGTACTATATTGGGTGCCAATTGCCTTATACAAGGCTCACCTAATTCTCACAGTCCCATCAGGAAAGGTACTATTAGCCCCAATTTACAGATTAGTAAATCTATAAAATTTATAGATGACGCTTAGAGAAGTTAAGACGATTGCTAAGACTGAGCCCTTGCTTTTTCTACTATACTCTGCTTCTCCTGACTGCAAGAAATATACCTGAGCCTATTCCAGGGTCAAACATCCAACAGCCAGTACTATTCCTGAAGGATAGTACAAAGGGCATGTTTCAGGACCAGAGGAAAAGGGATCTTTAAAAGCCCCCAGAAAAGAACTGTGTTGGAAAAGTTGAGGTAAAATCCCCTTCTCTTCTAAGACAACTAACTAGCCCTGGCCTGCCCTGTTCCAACCCCCCATCAACAGCAGCTCAGGCACACAGAAATAAGACCAAAACAAAAGCCACAAGGAAACAAATCAAAACTTTATATAGAAAGGAAGGCTTGCAAGTGGGTGGTCTGGTCCCCTGCTTAACCTAGGCTCTCTAAGTGCTCTGGCTAGTAATCAGGACACCACGTGCATTTTGTGGATATTAAGCCATCAATTTGCCAACTAAACAAATTTATCAACCAAGCTCCAAGGAAGACATGATCAACTCCAGTTCTGAGTTCTCACAACAAATGCCCTGGCAGCCCCTACATACGGCAGCCCCATCCCCAGTCCACCTCAGACCATCCCTTTCTCTCCAATTTCTGAGGCTACCTTGTGCCAGATCACTGGGGGTTTTCATACCCCCACTGGAGGCAGATTCCCTCCCACTCTTTTTCCCAACAGTTGAGCTCTTGTTCTCAAGAGCACAGAATCCCAGGCTCTCCTCCTCAGCCTTTGAGATGGCCACAGCACATTAGTAATCACTGACTCACTCCATTCCCCATGAGGAAGCTAGGGGAAATTCAGAGGGGCACAGGATGTGTGGCCCAGATCCCTCTGGCCCTTCGCAGAGCTGGTGGGCAGAGAGGTGCCAGTAACACTGCTTCCCCTTGGACCCCCGTGCATCCTCTCTGCTTTGGCTGTGGTACCAGTGGACGGATGTCAGGCTCTCCACCTTCAGAGAGGCCAGGATCTCTAGACAGCTCCACTGATGCCAACAGATCTAATCTCCCTATTCCAAGGCAGATGAAATCCAATAGGCTGCTAAGTCCACAACTTATCCCTCCTCATGGGCAAAGGCAAAGTCAGCCCTTCAGGCCATACCAACAATGATGGCAGCGTTAACACTGCCTCTCAGAGAGTTCTTGGAGGAACTGGGAACTATTTCCCCAAGTCTTTTACCTCCGTTAGCAAATATTCCATCACCTAGTTCACTTTCTTTCTCCAAAGCTTCATTTTTAGCTCCAACATATTCTCAGGCTCCATCCCAGTGATACCATCTCAGCCCCTCTCTATTCAGAGTCACCGACATTAATGTCCAATTCCCTCACCAAAGCAGAATCCCAAAGTCAGCTCTAAAAACTCATCTGTACAGATCATTTGGTTACCTACAAAAGACTTTTTAAAAAGCACAGGCAAGGAACACAAGCCAGCCACTAAGGCTTGACATAAAAGGGGAGGAGGGCGGGTTGGTTTGTGTATTGTTTCAATTGGAAAAATACACTAGTGAAATGGCTTATCCACATGTTCAGCCCTTTTAGGCAAATCCCACTATAACTTTTGCAGGATGCCTGCAGGCCGTTCTGAAAATAAGTAGAATGGCATCCCTCTTTATTCCACCCCCTCCAAGAGCTGCCAGCCCCCTCCCCATTCCCGCTTCTCTCCCTCAAACATCTGGTCCGGGCTGGGAGTGGGACCCACTCCCTGGAAAGCCTCCATGTTAACACGAGAGGCGGTCTCCCCAGTCAGAGAGCCCTGACTCAGGGTGAGGAGTGGGCCGGCCCCAAGCTTCTGAATTCCCCCGCACCAGCCCAAGACTTAGGAATGAGGATTCTAAGGACCCGGGGAGACTGTAGGGGAAGCGAGGAGAAGTAAGAAGGACAGCAGAAGGCAGGGAAAGGAGGGAAGAAGTCTGGATCCTGGGGCGGTCCCGAGCTGGGGACCCTTTCTCCTAAGCATCCAGCGGTTGAGGCGTCGGTGGGGAGGTCCCCGATAGGGCTGTCCGGGCCGGCCGGCGGCTGCTCAGAGGTTCCCGAAAAGGCACTGGAGGCCGGGGTCTGTCGGAAGCCCTGACTGAAGGGGTGGGCCGGACGGGGGAACTGAGGCCAAGTCCCACACGGGGCGCTGGGACCTGGGGGGCAGTAGGAGGGGAAAGAGACTGGGCTCCGCTCTCACCAGCACCAAGGCGAACCTCTCTTCCAGCTCACAGGGCTCAGGCATCGGCATCTTGCCGGGCGGCGGCAGCAGGGAGACAGAGGGCGGTTCACCCGCGCCCCCCTCAGCGCTCTCCAGGTTGCCCATCGCCGCGGGGCCCCCTCGGGGGCCTCAGCCCCCCACCTCCACGCCCGGGGGCCTTGGGCTCGACCGCTTGGACCCGGCTCCTCCCTCAGCGCCGGCTATCCCAGTCCTGACTCCTCCGCCCGATCGGGGGCGCCAGGGGCTCCTCGGGGGTCCCGCAGGCGATGGCGCTCGGCGAGGGCAGAGGCGGCGCAGCGGACAGTGGCACAGAAACGACCCGGCACTACAGCCACGGCTTTCGCTCACACCCGCGCCTTGCGGCTCTCGGCGCGCCGCCCCG